CGGGACAGGCAGCGCTTGCCCCCCGCCCAAAGCAGCGACCTGGAGGAGAGAACATTCAGCCTTTCACCCTGCCCAAGCCTAAATCCCGTTCATGGCTGCGGCAAAGYCCCTCTTGGCACAGGCGGACCCAACCCTCGCCCTGCCCAGGAAATGGGATGAGGGATCTTTACCCGATGATCCCCTAGCAGTTGTAGGCAGTTCTGCTCCAGTGGCTKCCCTAACCAGGACAAGCAGAGCCAAAGCGAGAAAAATCATCCTCCATCCCCCATTCCCTGCCACTCCCCCACGGTCCCCAGCTCTCTGCCAGACTGGCACTTGCACGGGGAATTCACTCGCAGGGATCACTCCAAGCTCTCACTTCACCCCTGCAGATGTTCAGCTCCAAGCACTCCCAGCTACTGACCTCAGCCTTGCGGTTAAGCTCAAATAATAACAATTTCTAAACTTAATTTGTTTTTCCTTCTGCCAAGAAAGAGCCTTCCACCCTGCTGGGAGTGCAAAGAAGATTTGTTATCAACTCCCATTACCTCCCCGACCCGGAGAGGCTGTCCCAAATAATGACACTTCCATGAGAAGAGAGAGAGGCAATATTCCATTTTATTGTTTTGGGAGTGTATTTTGAAGTTCAAATGGAAATAAGCTTCAAACAAACCAGTCATCCCTGGAATCCCCTCAAACAGTTTATGCAGCTGTTGTGGTTTAGGAATGGTATCCCCCAGTTTTATTGTTCCCACTGAAAACACCCCAGATCATGTGCCCCTGCAGCGGGATGGAGAGAAGACTGGGAGGCAGAAAAAGGTAAACCCTGCCCTGGATGGAACCAGGAAAACACCCAAAACCAACTTGCATGAATAAACAAATTTTAGAAAACTAAAAGAAAAAGAGAGGACCCAGATTAGGAGTACTTTTATCATGACTACATGAACTACTAAAAGTTATCCAAAGTAGAATTAAAACCCCTATTCCTTACCTCGTTGTCTTAAAATAACTGGGCATTYCTAAAATCCTCTCAGTATGTTCAGTGACTTTAAAAGTTGTGGCAATGTGGGGAAGATGAAATATCAAACTTGCATACGTCTTGCCTGTCATCTACTATGACAACCATRGAAAAGTGCTTTAGGACTTTTTAGCATGTATTACATAATGTTCAGTGATGGGTTTTAAAGGGGAGAAAAAATGAATGTTCTATTATCACCACATAAGAGCATTTCAAGTTCTTTGGAGCCTGTATCACGTGAGATTTGAGTCTTTCTAGAACTTTATTCTAAATTGATACAAGATCGAAGAGATGAGAAGTCACATCTTGCAGCTCTGCACGTTCCTCCTGAAAACTGGGGCAATTCAATTCTGAACTGCAGGCAGGCCCTGCTCTGCCAGAATCCTTCAGGCACCAGAGGTCACAGCAACAACACAGGGAAGTTTTCAAACCAGATCAAAGTCCAGAAAGCAGGCACAACCTCCAGCTTTATTGCTCTCCAAGCCATGGTCATCTTTGTAAGGGAATGATATTGCAGCTGAAAAAGAAGAGGATAGAAGAAAATATTAAATTTCTCCAAAAGGCACAGAAGATCTGACAAGAGACACACCACAACCCTCCTCCACTGGTTTCCTCTACAGACAAACCTGCCCCGTCCCTGTGCTCATGTTTGATGGAACTCAACTCCCTGTATCCCTGTGCAAAACCAGCAGCCTCCAGCTCCCTGGTGCCCACCACTGAGGTCTGTCACAGTGGACAGTGACACAGCCCAGGAAACATGCCCTGAGCTGCTAACAGCCTCTTCCCTTCCAGCAAGTGAAACAGCAGCTCACCCCAGRAGGCCCTTCCCAGCCCAGCGCTTCGGAGTCAGCCCCACGTGCACCCTTCTGCCACCACGGATCACAGTCACRCTCAGGGGTCTCTGAAAGAGAGGAAACAATAAAAAATAAACCAAAATACTCCAGTTTTCCATCACCAAGTCAACTCTTCTTCCTCCTTTTGCTGAAGCACCAGAAGAACATTAAGCCCAAGGAGCTGTTTTGCAGTGCCCATGCCCAGTCATGTGGCTATAGCTGACACAGGAGCGTTTTGTGTGAAGCCATCTCCAGGAGATCCCTCACATCCAACCCAAACCCTCAATGGTTGTGGCAGCTTCTCTGGCCAGCACACAGCAACAAGCTCACAGCCCTCAGCTCTTCCATTCATGAGCAAATAGCTCAATGCTGGGAGAGAAAAGGACTACAACAGCACAGACTGAATCTGACACTGCTTCTGACATGGAAATGATGATTCCAGAGTYCCAAGTTCCATAGAAAAAGCTGTGGCTGACAGAGACAGGCAAGAGAATGCAGTCACAGCAGAAATGAGCTCACCCCCTCGCTGTGCTGCACCACCGTGGCGATGTTCTGCAGGTTCTGGAAGTTGTTTACATTGACAGATCCAAACTCCACAATCTCATCATCAATTTGAAGTCCCTGGACAGTGAYAGAAGAGAGATGGGCATCTGCATTCTCCAAAGACAGGTAACATCAGAAATAATAACACAGGAGCATCGCCCTTCACTCAGGCACTTGGAAAGAGATCTGCTATGACACTTCTCACACTCAGGCAAGTGARCATCACTACAGCCTCTCCGTGTCCAAGGAGAGGTAAGTGCTCATTCCTCTGTTCTGTCTCTTGGGAATACTGAGGCTGGAACAGTCAGTGAGGTGTGGGAGCAACTGTGTGGTGCCGCCATACAGCTCAGAGAACACCCATCTCATCCCTGTACAATGACCAGCCCATTCACAGGACATCCCAGTGTGACAAAAGAGAGGAGGTGACCCCCTAATCAATCCCACATCTTATTCCCACTGATTAACAAGAGACAGAGGAAGCTGTGAGCTGTCTGGCTCCAGACCAAGCCTTCCCCATGAGCTCTCCCTGACATACCGAGACACTGGCGGGAGAGCCCGGGGTGACAGCGTTCACTTTGGCAAAGGGCTGGGGCAGGCTCTGGTTCTGGCTCATGGCCTCGGCCAAGGCCTCTGCCTCATCCTTGGCCTGTTTCTCCTTCTCCCGGGCGTGCAGCTTGTGCAGAGCTTCCTCCACCTGCTTCATCAGAGCCTTGTGATCGTTCTGCAAACCTGTGGGTGACACCATGAGCACACGGGGAGCTGGAAGGGCTCCCCCAAAGCGCTTGCAGCACCTGCTCCCCTCCGGAGCCCTGGCTGCCTCTGATCTCAGCAAGAACCTCTGCCGCTCTATCTGCTGGGGCCTGGTGCCAGCCCGRCAGATGTTTATCAGTAAAAGTCAGACACAGAGAAAACCACCCTACAAATTTTGGTAAACACGCAAAGGCAGTGGGGCTGGGAGGCCCATGATCCCCCAGAACTCAAGTCTTCTTTCCATCAAGACCCCTGCTGTTATGAGGAGAAAAACCCATCCTGAAAGTCAGAGCACAGGGAAAGCCTGGGATGAAATAAATGCCAAGCTGTTTCGTACCCAAATTATATTCTAGAAACACCACAGAAAAGCTTGGTTGTATTTCACAGATTCCAAATGGCTCCATAGCAGAGCCAGAATTTCAATGCCACTGCAGCAACATGTGGACAAAAGCATTTTAYTGACTCAGCCCAGTCGGCAGCTCCGAGAACTGCGCAGAACCACCGGGTAASAGGCTCAGCGCAGCCCTGGGCTCCRCTTTTGAGGAATTACAAYGAACGAGATGGGGATTTGAGAGAATTCACCGCTGTTACGCGGTATCTGTCCCCGGGCAGAGGCCGGCAGTCACCACACCGAGCAGAGGCCGGGTTTGCCCGGCACGGCCCGGTTTCGCTGGCTCATCCCGCGGGATGGGGGCACGCCSCGGCCCCGCGGCCCCGGGAAGGGCCCCCCCGCCCGGTTCCCGTTCCCCGCTCACAGATGATGTTGTGCCGGGCGGTGCGCACTTGGTACAGGTCGATATCTGAGCGAGGGAAGCCCTCGGCGTCCACCAGCGGCTCGTGCATCCCGACGCCCTTTTGCTGTGAGGGAAGAGGCGGCGGTTGGGAGGGGGCCGGGCCCGCGGGCCCTCACGCCGTCCCCCGGCCCGACCCAGCCCTGCCCGGGCACTGACCCCCTCCAGCAGCTCGTAGCAAGCCTTGATCTGCGCTTCGATCTCGTCCTTGCGCCGCACCAGCTGCTGCACATCGCTGACGGTGACGGGACGGCTCCCGCCGGGCTCCGCCATGGCCGCGGCCGGACGGGAGCCGGGAGGGGCGCGGGGCGGGGCTTGAGCTAGCCACGCCCATGGGCGGGGATTGGGCGTGGTCAGCGCCGGGGGCGGGGCCAGAGGGAACCGTGCCGGGGGTGGCACCGGGGGGACAGCGGCGACAATAACGGGGTGGCACCGGGGGGACACATTGGCGACAGTAACGGGGTGGCACAGCTATGTCAGTGCCACTGCCGCGACAATAACGGGGTGGCACCGGGGGGACACAGCGGCGACAATAACGGGGTGGCATCGGGGGGACACAGCGGCGACAATAACGGGGTGGCACAGCTGTGTCGGTGCCACTGCGGCGCGATGCTGTGGTGGTGCCATGGGGCGGCTGTGATGGTGACATGTGGTGGCACGGCGGGGTCACCGTCACTGGGTGACACAGCTGGGGTGGTACGACGTTCTGACCCTGTCCCTGTCTGTGCGACCCCTGCTCGCCCCTGTCCAGTCTGTGCCCCAGCACAGCTGGTGCATGGAATTCATGTCCCCCAGGGTATGTGACATCCCCACCTCTAGATCCCCASCCCTGCCCTCCGTGCCGCTGACACCCACTCAGGCCCCTGTGCTCATCCTCCCTGGTCCTGCTGGTGGCTCCGACTTCCCAGCACTCCCAGTCAGGTGGAATTTGTGCCCTGGTGCCTCCCCTGGCAGGGCCATCTCCCGCCCCTCTCCCTGCTGCTCTCACACTTGGGGTCCGTGCAGCGCTGAAGGTGGCACGGTGTTCTCCCTGCCCAGACACCAGCACAGAGCCAGCTGGACTCTGCCGGCTCTCCTGGCTCMGAGCTGCCCGGGATGACGCGTCCCCACCGCGGGGTGAATGTCCCCRRGGGCAGCGGGCGGGCCGGGGGATGTGCTGCCCTGGTTGCATCACCCAGTGCCGCTGTGACCCCGGCACACACGGGGCAGGGTTTGGCTGTGGGGTCAGCAGGATCCCGGCCCACCCCAGAACCTCACGTGCTGCCCTCAGCCCCTGCACACTCACCCTCAGCACCCTCCACGTTTCATCCCGCAGTGCCACAGCCAGGGCTGCAAAGCACCCCGTGACACGGCCCCAGTGACCGCCACCACCACCCCCAGGCTGGGCAGCTCCCATTCCAAACCAAACACATCCCTGGGTTGGTGGTGGGAGAAGGTGGGGCCGAGGAGGAGCCTCCCCGTCCCGCCGTTATATTAAAAGCCCTCCCGTTCTCGTGCTCTCTGAGCTGCTGTCACATCGCCGGGTCACAAAAATGGTGAGAGACAGCAGATGGGAATTAATTTAAATATTCGGGGCTCCATGGCRCGGGACGTCTTGGGAGATTTAAGCTCTGCTTGGTTCGGATTTTCCAGTGGCTGTGCTGGAAGTGGCACAGCAGAACTGTTCCTCACTGCCCGACCTCTGGATTCGGCTCGCTGGGGGCTGCCGTACCTGCCCGTCCCGCTAATGTCTCTCTTTTCTCATTCTCTTTCAGACGTCTTACACAGACAAGGGAGAAAAGGTAAGAGCTGAGYCGTGTCCCTGTCCTGCCCCTCTGCCTGGCGTGAAACATCGGCCGGGTCGGTGCAGATTGTATCCATACCTTGATTATCTTGATTCCCCCAGAAGTAAAAYTACTCTGGCTGGGTCACACAAGCTCGTTGTTTTAAATTAGTATTAATAATCAGATTTCTTTGGTTTTCTTCTGGTTTGGGAGGAGAGTGACAAACAGGAGATGATGGGTATTTCCCAGTCAAACCAATCCTTAAGCAGAATCCTCATTCCATGCAACATTCATTTCCAAATGCTGAATTTTTGGTCACTTTTTTCACTTTTAAAGTGTCTCCAGTGCCGGCTGTCCTTTGCCAGGCTGGGCAGTGGTGGGGAACGGAGCAAAGGGGGATCTRTCCTGGCGCTAGCAGTTGTGTAAGAGCTTTTGCAGGAGAATTAATCTTTAACACAGCGAGGTTTGTGGATGGGCAGCCCWCTGGGACAGGCACTTGTGGAGGACACTGGGAGAACTGGGACTGCAAGCCAGGGCTTTGCACCTTCCAACCTGCAGTGCAGGATCCTGTGGACCTGACTGYAAAGCATTTTGGAAAGTCTCCACTCAGGAGATGTTCCAGCAGTTAATTCAGACGCACTTGCAGGAGATGCATTTCCAGGGTCACGGCTGCTGCTTCCCCCTGCTCTGGAGCTGTGCAGCAGCAGCAGCTCAGCCCTGTCTTCTCTTCCTTTTAGCCCCAACAAGGCCGCTTCATCCATTTCCACTCCATCACCTTCTGGGTCGGCAATGCCAAGCAGGTGAGAGGCTGCGGCCACCGGGCACGTGTGCCAGGGGACAACAGTGCCAGGGGACAGCGGTGCCAGGGGACAGCCGTGCCAGGGGACACCTCCCACACCAGCACAGGCCGGGTGCTGCGGGCATTGGCTGCCGGGGGGGTGGTGGCTCGTCCCAGCAGCCCCTTAGGCCGGGGATGTCCCCAAGCCCGGCCCTGGCCCGGTGCCGATGGCCTTGGTGGCCCTTGCGCAAGGTGAGGGGCGGCTGCYGGGGGCGTGCGCAGGGACCTGGGACATGTGCAGCAGCACACGTGGCCGGGCTCAGCCRTGGCCACCATGTCCATCTCCATCCCTGTCCTGGGCCGGTTAAAAACCCCTCTGCCTCACAGCCGAGCTGCTCTTCACCCAACCCTGCAGGACAGGAGACAGGCAGAAATGTTTCCTGCTGCATGGCAGAAGTTCCAGGGGCAGCCCTTGCAGAAGTTCCAGGGGCAGCACTTCCCACTGAATTTGGGCTTTTTCCTCAATCTGGGCCCTTTTTTGCCTCTGCTTGTCCCCCCTGGGCCGCTGGAGGAGGCAGAGAAGCTGCTGCCTGTGCCCMCACACACACACAGACACACACACAGGACAGGTGTGGCTCACACTTGCCATGGTGGCCGTTATCCCTGGGCTGTGGGCCACCAGCACCCCAGCTTCAACCAGAGAAACCCTTCCCTGCCCACAGGCTGCATCCTACTACTGCAACAAGATGGGCTTCGAGGAGCTGGCGTACCGGGGGCTGGAGACCGGCAGCAGGGAGGTGGTGTCACATGTCATCAAGCAGGACAAGGTAAGGGGGCCCTGGCAGGGGAAGATGAGGTGGGGTCAGATGTGTGGGTGCTGCCAAACCCACCATGAAAACATCACCCGTGGCTCCATCCTCACCTCTCATCCTCTTCCTTGCCAGATCGTGTTTGTTTTCTCATCTGCTCTCAACCCTGGGAATGAGGGTAAGGTGTCATTGAGGGGGATGGRGTGGGAATGGCCAGGGCAGAGCAGCTCAGCTCATGCCTGTGCTGTTCCTCCTCTGGGCAGAGATGGGGGAGCACCTGGTGAAGCACGGTGACGGYGTGAAGGACGTCGCCTTCGAAGTGGAAGACTGTGACTTCATCGTGCAGGTGGGCAGCACCTCCACCCCCTCCCACACAGCCCCAAAACAGTGAGGGGAGGCTTTGGGAACATCCCCCGCAGCCCAGAGGAGCTGTGGCAGGACGGGGTCTCTCTCCTTCTGCCCAGAAAGCCAAGGAGCGTGGAGCCGTGGTGGTGAAGGAGCCGTGGGTGGAGCAGGACAAATTTGGGAAGGTGAAGTTTGCAGTGATCCAGACGGTGAGTGGCAGGGCAGGGTGGGCTCCAGGCTGCACCTGGGAGGTCCCAAATAAACAAAGCCATGACACCACCGCCTTCCTCCTTTGCAGTATGGTGACACCACCCACACTTTGATAGAAAAGCTCAACTACAAGGGTCTCTTCCTCCCCGGGTACCACCCGCCCCTCTTCAAGGACCCCCTGCTGCCCAAGCTGTGAGTACTTTCCAGAGGGTCCTGCCTGGCTCTTTGCCATTGTGTCTGGGTGGGATATCCCACTGAGAGCTGACAGCTCCCCACTGCCTTGCCCTGAGCCCCCTGAGCTGTGGGGTGCCCCTGAGCCTGGCTCAGACCTCCCTTGACTTCATCCCACAGACCAAGCACCAAGCTCAGCTTTGTTGACCAYGTCGTGGGGAACCAGCCTGACCTCCAGATGGTCCCAGTGGCTGACTGGTGAGCGTGGGAGAGCTGCTGGGAGGTGGGATGGAGCAGCAGCACAGCTCTGCTGGTCCCACCACTTCCACTGGGGGTGGTTGGAGCTAATGAGGCCAGAGCAGGGCTTCCTTACTGTGGGATGGAGCAAGGGGTTGATTGTGCCCGTTATGGCCTGGACAGGTACCAGAAGAACCTGCTCTTCCACCGTTTCTGGTCAGTGGATGACAAGCAGCTGCACACCGAGTTCAGTGCCCTGCGCTCCATCGTGGTCACCAACTATGAGGAGACCATTAAGATGCCCATCAACGAGCCAGCACCTGGCAAGAAGAAATCCCAGATTCAGGTGAGTGAACACTGCTGGTGGAGACACCTGGCTGCCCCCACTTCCAGGGAGGCCTCAGTGAAGGAAAAGTGACCGAGGGTCAGTGATTTGGAGCCAGAGCAGACCTGCTGTGCTGAAGCAGCTCCTAGAAACCAGTCCTGGCTCTGCCTGGGTCAGCCAAACCCAGGGGAAGCCTCTGGTCATAGCCAGTTTATCCCAATCTCATCAACAGGGTCTTTTTGTCATTCCATGGTGCCCCTGAGCAGATTTTGCCCTCACGTTTTTAAGCCTACACCCATCTCTTCGCACACTGTCACTGCCATGGTGACATTTTTCCCTGCAGGAATATATCGACTACTATGGAGGGGCCGGAGTCCAGCACATCGCATTGAACACCCCTGACATCATCTCAGCAGTGAGTGCAGCCCTGGCAGCCCCTGCCCTGGAACACCCTGTCCTGGAACACCCTGCCCTGGAACCCCCTGCCCAGGAACCCCCTGCCCAGGAACCCCCTGCCCCAGGAACCCCCTGCCCTGGAACCCCCTGCCCAGGAACCCCCTGCCCCAGGCCATCCTGCCCCAGCTCTGGGCACAGTGTCCATCCCAGGAGAGTGGTGGACCATGACCCCTGTCAGAGTACAAGGACACAGAGCAAACAGGGCTTTGTGCCGTGGTTGTTTTACAACCAGGATTAACTGCCCAGGGAGTCAGTGCCTGCACCTGGGAACTGCCTGTCCCTCCAGGGGKCTGCAGGGCCCTTGGTGGCACCTCTGTCCTTGAGGGGTGACCCTGGGAGCCCCCCCAGCCCATCACCCACATCCAGCCAGGGCAGAGACAGGTCTGGGTTGAGCCCAGTTGCTGCTGAGCCCCCAGGTTTGGGCTTCTCTCCGGACCAAAGGGCCTCCAGAGRTATCAGCAGGTCAGAGCAGGGTGAAGCCTCCTTGCACAGCTCTGCCATGCTAGGGGAGGGCATGTTGGGCCTGCCCACTCCTGGTGCCACAGTGAGGTGATGAGCCAGGCTCCCATGCTTGAGGAAAGTCCTCTGGCCCAACACTGGCCATGCCAGGGAACACTCCTGGCACAAACCCCTCCCCACCTGAGCCACACTGGGTCTCCCCTGCCTTGCAGATCACCAATCTGAAGCAGAGGGGAATGCAGTTCATGGATGTGCCCTCCAGCTACTACCAGGTGCTGCGGGAGAGGCTCAAAACTGCCAAAATCAAAGTGAAGGAGAACATCGACAAGCTGGCGGTGAGTCAGACAGGGAAARGCTCTGCCCAGGGCTGGAGCAGCTCCCCAGAGTGCTCTGCAGGATGTGAGCAACACAGGGAGCCCCACTTGCTCCTCTGTGGGTCTTTGAGCTGTTGCTCTGTTTCGTTTCTCTAGGAACTGAAAATCCTGGTGGATTTTGATGAAAAAGGMTATTTGCTCCAGATCTTCACCAAGCCAGTTCAAGACAGACCCACGGTTTTCCTGGAGGTGATCCAGAGGCACAACCACCAGGTTGGTTTGAGGATCTCTCGTTGATCCTGGTCCCCTCAGGGCCACCAAACCCCATCCTGTAACATTCCTGTCTCTGCAGGGCTTCGGCGCTGGGAACTTCAAGTCTCTGTTTGAAGCCATAGAAATGGATCAGGATGCCAGAGGAAACCTGACTATCCTGGAGCCCAACGGGGAGACCAGGCGCATGTAGGGGATGGCAGGAGGTGCCACCCCCGCCCCTAAGGAGCTGATTCCCAAACGAACTGGGAAACACCCCATGTTTTGGTAAATAGCCCAGACTTAAGAGCCACAAACCCACGGAAGCCACTGCCAAGTTGGACACGTSAAAGGACCCAACACCTCTSCCAGCCCAGCTCYRGCATTGCCCTTCGGTGACTTCCTGRRAGAGGGGGTGTGGGAAATTGCAAACACACTCTCAAAAAGCAGCTTAATCTGATCCAAACCACGGAATTCTTAACRAAGGGCAGATTTAAGGCATGTGCCAAAGCCACACAGCTACAGAGGAAGACAGAAGAAACAACTGGGAGTGCTCAGATTTAGTCTATCCAAAGTTTTAATTTTAGCTACACGGAAAACTGGGAAAGCACAGAGGCATTTGCCTCTCTGTGCATCTCCTTTTGTAAGATTTTGGTTTAATTGCTTTTAGACCCAATCTTGAATTTGAATTTGCTGAGAATAAACATGGTTTTAGGGTAGCTCCAACACTCTGGAATAAGAATTAATCATATTTACGAACTTCAGCCTTTCCAAGGCAGTGCTATTTACAGTACCTGTAAATTCCTGCATTAATGATGGGTTGGGGTTTCTCCCATGTTTCAAGCAGTAATTGCTGGCATTGGCAGCGGTTCCTTGGCTCAGATCCTTCCTGGCTGCATGTGCAAAGTCCCCTCTGGGTGTTGCTCTGCTGGTGTCACTGTCCTTTGCACGGGGAATTCCTCCCCAGCACAATAAATCCCTTTTCTGACACGGCCTGAGTGCGTGCAGAGTCCCTGTGTTCCCTGGGGCTGAGGTGCAGCACTCCCACAACCCACAACCCTCACCCCACAGCTGCTGAAGGACACCCCGGGCTTTCCAGTGTCCATGGTGTCCCCAATATTGCACAGTCACCCCCAAACCCCCCTGTTCCCCGTTTTCCAGCAGGGAAGCTGCTCAGAGCCTCAGGACACGAGTCCTTCCCCAGCCCCATGGCAGCCCCCCCAGGCTGAGACCTGGAGCTCTGTGCTCACTGTGGAATCAGGAGCTCTGTGCTCACCTCTGGAATCCAGAGCTCTGTGCTCACTGTGGAATCAGGAGTTCTGTGCTCACCTCTGGAATCAGGAGCTCAGCTGAGTCTCCTGCAGCCCAGGCTCGGTCCTGTCTCTTCCTCCTCCATCAGCCATTCAGGTCCCTGTTCCAGGCATCTCATTTTGTAAAGCTCAGAGAAGCCACTGTGACCCCCCAGAGCCCCCAGCAGCAGCCCATGGTGATGGGGTATGTGGGGCAAACCTCAGCAGCTCCCCCAGCTCCCCCTTCTCTGGATCCAAGGGAGCAGAACTAATCCACATTTCACAGAATCACAGAMTATCCTGAGCTGGAAGGGACCCACAGGGACMATCCAAGTCCAGCTCCTGGCAMTTTGAATAAACTGATTTAAATAGAAAAAATCTCAARAGCCTCTGGCCCCAACAGCCTCATGGCACCATGGACACCTCACCTGGTGGTTAARGGCTTTTGCTTCCATAGAGTTAAAAATAAATAAAATGAATATGAACTCAGAGCAATCCAGGGCAGAGCTGGAGGAGCAGGGACCCCTCACCTGCCAGGCTGGACATGTTTGGGACTCCTGGGTCACTGTCAGGGGGCTCTGCTTCAGCTCTTCAGGGTTGTAAAGGTTTTTAATACTGAGACAAAGTGTATAGAYTCAAATCACACTCGTATTTCTTTTGTGCAATATTATGCTGCTCAAATTTCAYTTCCTGCTCACCAGAATTAATATTTTCAGTAAATTTTGCTGAAAATCAGTTCTTCACACTGTTCTTGCTCTGGGTCTGCTTCCTTGAGCTCTCACAGTTCCCAGCACAGATCTAAGAGCAAAAAGCTACCCTGGCAATATATTAAGCACAACGTAATTTTTCTGTAAGAAAAGTCAGTATATTTATGGTTTGCTTTATAAAAGTTACTATAATACAATGGTACATAGTATTCAATTCACAAAAATATGAACAAATATATACAGCATGACACATCCACAACAAAAACACTTTCTTCAAAACAAGATACATACTGGTGACAGATTCTATATGCACAAAACATCCCTAAATTTATAAATTTGCTTAACGAAAGAAAAAGCAGAAATCCTAAATCTTCAAAGCAGAGTTGTTTTTTTTTTAAAGGAACTTAGAAAAAAAATTTTATTTTTAAATTTATTGCAAACCATTTGACCTGCCTGCTTTAAAAGGAGGCCCTTGATTTCCACACTGGGAATTAAAACAACCAGAAAACTGCAAGAATTGGGAGCTGGGTGTTCTTCCACTTTGCTTCAAAACTGCCCCATTGTTTTAGAGTGTTCTTCTTGATGTGTTTCTCTTCACTTGGACAAATCCTACAGTGGCAATTAAGGAGGAAACTCATAAAAACAAAACAAATATTAAACTGAAAAAAATCCAGTTGCAAATTCGCTTAAATACACTTTAGGGTGTCTATTAGACTGTACACATTTCCTCGCTTGAAATAAATAGATTTTGCACATTAGGTTTCAGACTGAGGGAGGGGGGAAAAGAAGAAGCCTTGACTTGGCAATTTTTTGTCTTCAGTTTCTTAATGCTTCTAATTTAATCTATTTATTTGACAAAAAAAACCCCGTATTTATACAGAATTTACATTATACAAAGCTTGACACAAGCTGTAAATGCCACCAGCTCCTTTGCTATACTCAGTCCTTCTTCCTCCCCATCGTGACATGATTTAGAGCTGGAATCTGTTTAAAAAGAACTCCAAATTACAATAGTCACTTTTAATAAACTATTTACATGCTCTTGAAGTACAAAGAAATCAGCAAAAAAATTTCAACATGTTTCTACAAGAAACAGTGTTTGAAGAGAAGATTCTTGAGTTCGCCTATGTACAGAAGATGCATTTTTTATACTTCAAAATCCTTTTTTTTTCCTTAAATTTTTATTTTGTACAGAAATGCACTGAAATGATCCCTGAAAAAGGTCACAAAAACCAGAACTGAAACTACTGTATAATTTGCTGGAGTTTAAAAATGATGGGTTTTCTTTTTCCTCGTAGAAAGAAGCTGTTTTACACAATATAAGTAACTGCAAGATGAGCCCCATCCCCTCCTGGGCYCCCCAGAGTCACAGAGCCCTTTGGGAGCAGCCTGGCACTGCAGAGAGTTGTGAACCCCCTGGATCCTGCACCCTCAACTCACACCAGCTGCAAACTCCAGGTTAAAGTTCTGTTTCCATCATTTTGCTCTGTTCTCTTGGGTCACTCCTCCCAGCCAGATGGGATTTTGCAGGGAGCACAGGCAATCTCTCTCTTTTTTTTTGTCTTAGGCTCCAGCTGAAGTGACAAYAAATTTGGGGATGGGTTTTTCAGTGTCTGTAAGCAGCACGGGCTGGTGAGGTTTCTCTTTTTCCCTGTCCCTGTTTCCATGGGKGCTGGGGAGCCTGTGCTGAGTGTGAAGCTCCTGCTCTCCTCTCATCCCATCCCTTACCAAGAAAAAGGCAAAAAACCCGGAGGGATTTGAGGCATCTCCAAAGCACATCTGTGCCTGCAGGGACCCAAGGAGATCCTGGCAGGGACAGAGCACCCATGGAAAACATTCCCCAGACTTGGAGTCCTCACCATAAAATGATTTGTTTGGGGGTCAGGCAGCTTCCCAGTCCAAGACAAAATATCTCCCAGGTAGGACTCTGCAAGCCAAGATTGGGGGAAAAAGAGAAGCCTCCGATTTGGCTTTGAAATAAGATTAACATGATTTTTGGGAAGTGCTGTGGGCTCAACAGCTCTCTTTCTTCCTGGGGAACTGCTGGGAGCTCGGCTCTTCTGAAAACTCACATTATTTGTCTGGGATYCTAAAGGGGATGGATTACAGGCAGTTTCAGAAGTACCAAAATGATTTAAATGCTYGTGATCTTTGGCACCCAAATCCTTTTGGTGCTACTGAAAAAGCACAGTGAAGGAYCTGAAGGTGACAGTGACTTTCCTCCCTGCCTTCCTCACCAAGGATTAAGGCAAACTGCAGGGGCTGATCCCACCCAGAGCACACTGATATGCTGGGAAACACAGAACTGCCAGCAGATTCTCAGGGCTGGGCATTTGGGGTGTCCCCACCCCACAAATCCACCATTTAATGCACTGGTTTGATGGAGCAGAGAAGGCCAAGGACAGGAGCTTCAGTTCTGAGCCATAGGAAACTTCCATGCATTTCCAAAGCTTTAAAAGTCAAAGGCCAAGCTGTAGAGATGCCACCTGGAGAACTGACACATTGAATCTCATTCCAAAAAAATAACAACTAAACTGAGCAGCTGGTTTATCTCCCAAATGCCATCCCTGCAGTTCCAACYAACATTCAGTGACAAAAACTTGTTGTGCTTCTCATAATTTTAGGTTCTGGGTCAGCAACACCCAGTTGTTGGGAGAGATTTATGAAGAAGGGGGGAAACAACAAAACTGAACTGAAACAAAAGCAGAGATGGACCATGGACTGTCCAACCTCAGGGACAATTTGCTCACCCTCAGCCAGGAGCACAGGTGGGATTAAGGCAGTTTGTAGCACTCTGTGTGCTCCTGCTCTCTCAGGCCTTTTGTCTGCAGAAGGAATTCAGGGGCAGAGATTTAACCTACATTCCAACCCCCACTCAGCAGGCAATGACAATTCCATGGAACAGCTGAAAAAACTTCCAGGAACCTTTTTTTGCAAGGCTGTCACCTCTGCTGGTGGAGGTTGTGAAAGGCTACAAGTTTTGGTCTGTGGGGAGAAGGTTCTCAGTTATGCAGATCATCTTCCCATTTCATCATGACATTGCAATTCCCCTTAYAAGCCAATTAAAAAGGGTTTAGGTACAACTAATCTCTACTTTTAAAGCAGGAGAAACGCAATGCAAGTTGAAAAGCTGAACCTGTCTATACCTGAACAGTCGTGTAACACTTCCAGATCTCATCCAAAGAACTATTTTTTGGTGTTTTGTTCCAGTTTYAAATGGAACCTCTTGAAGAACTGCAACCTTCACCTCAGCACATCTATAAGGACAAAATATATTGAGAAATAATTTCAAAACATGCTTTCCAAATTTAGAGAAGCACTGATTTCCATGCTATAGATGGGGGGGGACAGGATGGCTCTCAGGGACACTTTCACCAT